TTTCTGGAGTCTCTGAACCATGAGATTTTTATAGGCGAGAAGTCATGAAACAGCAGGCCACTATTTTCAGGGGTGGGACGGGGGCGGGGGGGGGGGCGGTCACCACGGCACAGGAGCATCTCCGGGATTCTGATTGGTCACTGTGGGCCCCAAGAGTGATGTCAACTCTTAGACACAGCTAAAGCCACCTCCTGGTCCCCCAACCTCAGCCCCTGGCCTTTGTGGCTCTGCTTGGAATGGCTCTGAGTCCGTCTCTTCCGGCCAGAGCCTGCCCTACTTTGTGTCGGCACACCCAGGGAAGCCCCCGACTGCCCACCCTCAGATGCAGAAGCCAGGAGCCCAGACTGGGCTGAGGTTCCCACCCAGCTCTGTGTCTCCCTCATCACGTGACCTCGGACAAGTGCCTCCACCTCTCTGAGCCACAATTTCCTTACCAATCAAAGGAACTGTAGTAATACCAGGGTGTGGCCACAAGGCTCTGCTAGTTGCTAGTCAGGAATCGACCCTCCCCTACCTGCCAGACCCTCAGCACATCCTCTCCTGGCAATCTCTCCTTGAATCCTCTCTCCAGCTCTGAGGGTGAGATTCTAGTTCCCCAATTTTCCAGAGAAAGAACCGGAAGATCAGAAACCTTCAGTAACTTGACTAAGGCTATGCCGGGTGTGAGTAGCTCTTAACCACTGCACCGTCTTGGGAAGTATTTCGTTAAGTGGAGGTGCGGTGCCAAGCCTAGGAGGGGCTTAGTGAGGCAGGTGGCTCTGACCCTTCAGAAGGGCCCAGAATCCCTGTGCTTGGGCAGGTATGCAGCCAGACATGTGCCTGTCCCCGCCCGGGGGCCTCCGCAACCAGCTTCTGCTCCTGCTGGGGCCCAGCCTGGTCCCGCGTTGCCATGTACCGGCTGTCCCCGCAGTGGACCATGTACACGTGTGACAGGAGCGCCCCCTCACTCCTGTCTTCCTCTCTCCAGGTGGACCAGTCCGGCCTGGGCTTACCCTCAAGGGACTATTACCTGAACAAAACTGAAAATGAGAAGGTGAGTGTGATTCAGAGGGAGTGGCTCCCAGCCCACACCCCATGACATTCTACCCTGTTGATGTCCCCTCAGTGCCCACACCTGTGTGGGTCTTCAAAGCTGGAGTTGCACGGAGGTGTCACTTACCTGGTGGGTGCTGGGCAGTCCCTGGCAGGGGAGGGGACCCTCCCCCCGGCTGGCTGCTTCACATTCAGGCGTCGTGAGCACAAGAGGCAGGGATAGGTGTCAGAGCAAGACAACAGTAATGGCCACTGTCATTTGTGGGCGCCAGGCCTCTTATACACTCACCTCTGGCCCTCCCGGTAACCCTTCAGGTACAGAACATCGCTGAACCTCTTTCACCTCATCTGCCACGTGGGTGTTATTTTTACCTTGCCTTTTACAGAAGAGAGAGAGCAAGGCTCAGAGATGCTAAGCGACCCGCTCAAGGTCCCACAGTGGTGAGGCTGAGATTCTCATTGAGACCCGCTAACTCTGAAACCCATGCCTCTCACGATGTCCCGGGGAAACCTCTCCTGAGGTTCATCGTCTCTCCCTGCATTATCTGCCCACTGCTGGGGGGATCGTGGTGACTAAGACGGGCATGGTCCCCGCCCCACGGGGCTTGGAGTCTAGCAGGGGAGGCGGACGTTAATTAACTAACCACCCAGTAAGAGGCATAGTGACAAATTGTGATAGCTCAAGGGTGAGCAGAGAAAGTTGAACACGGGAACCTAATTCAGATGTGGGGACACAGTAGAGAAGCGCAGCTCAGACAAAATGTGTTCTAAGAACTGAAAGATGGTCTGTTGGTAACTTTCACGTGCCGAGCATCCGAGAGGGGGTGTGGGCCGGGACCGCAGGGACCCACCTGCCGGGGACGTGTGGGCTTTGTCCTGAGTGCCGTGGGCAGCCGGTGAGGCGGTGCAGAGCCAGAACCATCCCTGCAGTGGGTCGGCGGTGGCTTCCTGCGCTGGGCTGGCCCTGCCCTGCCCGCCAGCCTTGTCCAGTAGGCCGTGGGCGGCAGCACTGACATATAGCGGGTGCCGGGCCCCCAGGTGCTGACAGGATACCTGAACTACATGGTCCAGCTGGGCAAGCTGCTTGGTGGAGGGGACGAAGACACCATCCGGCCCCAGATGCAACAGATCCTGGACTTTGAGACGGCGCTGGCCAACATCACCATCCCCCAAGAGAAGCGCCGAGATGAGGAGCTCATCTACCACAAAGTGACTGCTGCGGAACTGCAGGTAACATGGAGCCCGGGACAGGCCCGGGGCTTCAGGACATAGGGCACTGGGCTGGGGTTTTTGTACCCACTTCATCAGATCCTCAGAACAACCCTATGAAGCAGGGATGGTTGTTAGCCCAGTTTGCAGATGGGAAAACTGAGGCTCAGAGAGATTCAGTTACCTGCTAGAGGCCACACAGCTTTTCCGTAGCAGCATTTACCTGGGGAGGCTCTATCAGGATGATAATCGCTCACACTGATTGGGCATTTCCGGTCTCAAGCCCCAGCCCCAGTCACATTGAGCCTGGTGCACAGCAAACAATAGCTGTGAGGGGTGGGTTCTGTAGTCACTTCTTCCTTTTCCAAAACAAGAGGTTGAGTGACATGTTCAAGGCCCTGAGGCTCCCCGAGTATCAGGGGAGCTGGACATTGGACTCAGGCATGGCTCATGGGATCTCTGCTCTTGACCATGGCCCCTGGCAACCTCCTGGAGGTGTAATGGGGTTGCTCCCTGTCACTGGGTGTAACCCAGCGGTGAAGCCAGTGGCCCCTCTGCCAAAACCAAAGGCTGCCCCCTGGTGGCTCCTTGGGACTTGCAGGTGGTGAGTTGAGGTGATTGCCTGCCAGTTCCATCTTTCCAGTTCACCGTGTGTCGGTGTCTGGTCTTAGCCCAGGTCCCCAGGGTCACAGAGGAATCAGCAGAGTGGCCTTGGCCAGTCTTCCTGTTTCCTGCCATTGCCTAGGAATGCCTGGGGAGGCCTGCTTCCCCGCTGGGGAGGATGATAGGCCTCTTGTGTCCCACTTCGTGTTGGGGTTCCACCAACATGTCTCCTCCCTCCTGCTCTTCCTTGACCAGCCAGGTCCTGCCCATCCATTTGAGTTGGCTCATTTCTTCTCCTTTCAGGAAGAGCACCTATGTCCCTACGCTTTTTCTCCCTCCATCCCTCCCCCGACAGGTATATATGGGGACACCCTCGGGCCTCGCTCTGGGGGTACTTCCAGGCTAGGGAGGCACACCAACGAGGAGACAATCCCGGACTCACTGCTGAGAGCTTTGGGAAAAGGAGGGCTGTAGGATGAGGGATAGGACGGAGCCAAGGAAGGGGAGTCTGATGAGTGGGTGAGCAGTCACCAGGCCGGCGGGCTGTCCCGGCTGGAACAGCAGCCCAGGCAGAGCTGGGGCTGAGGGCAAGAGGGCCGCTTGTGGGTGTCAGCTGTCCCTGAGGTCCCCAGAGAAGTTGGCATCGGGGTGAGCAGTGCTGTGTGGTTGTTACGGAGATCAGCAGACCGTTGGCTGCCATCTGGCACTGTTTTTCCACCCTGAGGCCCAGCGGTTGGAGGAGATGCTGTTTGTGTGATGCAGTTTGGTTTGCTCGAGCCGCCCGCTTCTCGACCCAGGAAGGGCCCCCGCGGCTGCCCAGCACCCCCCCCCCCAGCGGCCATGGTTCCGGTTGACTACCCCAAGAGTGGCAGAGAAGACACGGTAGCCCTGAGCACCTCCGCCCCGGCGTGGCTTCCAGCTTCGACCTCTGGGCACCCTGTCACATGGCTTTTCTCTTTTCCTCCTCCCTCCCTGCTGCAGAGCCGCCGGGGTGGGGAGGACATCAGCAGAGGGACGAGCCCTGGGCTTGGGGTCAGAAGACTGCTCTGGCCCAGCCCCACAATGAGCTGTGTGACCCTGGGCAAGTCACACAACCCCCCTCTTCACACCTCGACTTCCTTCCTTGTAAGATGGGGCTTCGCTCGCTCCTGTACACCCGCTGTGTTCCAGAATGCAGAGACAGATGAGGGGCAGCCCCTGTCCCCATAAGGGGCAGTGGTTCTTTACTCTGGCCACAGGGTTCTTTGAGAACAAGTTGAAAACTGTGGAGTGTCTCCCAGAGGAACTGGGCATATGTAGATATAAAAAAATTATGTCTAACATCTAAAGATTAAGTCCTGGATCCCTGAAGCCTATCCTCCAAAAGAATCTCTACCTGGGATTTCATTTTGTAAACTGACACGCACAATTCAAATGTATTATAGTAATCATTATTAGTATTATTCCTTTGTTGGTGGTGATGCCAGCCCACGTCTCCAGCACTTAACCAATTTGATTCCTTCCAACCTTGGACAGAGACTATCTTGCTGTTCCCTGGTATCTGGAAATTTGGTTCTCTTCCTATACCCCAGGTGACTCTAGGAAAGGTGCACCAGCCTTCACAGTATGGCTAGCCCCACCAGAATACAGAGTGGTTCAAGGCTAGCCCTCAGCAGAGTCTGAATTCAGAGCCCTGAATCAAACATCCTTCTGTTGCTTCTCTGGAGGGGCCTGAGGACCTTCTCATTCCTCTCTAGGACCTTCCACATCAGAAGTTGTTTGGGAATGAGCCCTATTCTCTGCTCTAAATTCTCCAGCTGAGATAAAGTCTGATAGCATCTTTCTTTTCTCTTATTTGCAAGCCTACTTGAGCTGGTTGGTTGGTGACCAGCAGTACCCTTTGGCTGCAGCACTGGAAAATAGAGCCGACTGGTGTGCCCCAAAGGATTTGAGTCACAAGTAGAACGTCCTGGTCAGTTAAAACAGCCATCTCCATGGAGACAGATCGAGGCACACATGTCTAAGTTAGGCGTTCACTAAAGCAAGATTGAAAATGTGAACATTCTGGTATTCAACACGCACCTTATCTGGGGTTGTGGGAGTTTACCTGCACAGAACACCTGTTCTCCCTAAAGAAACAGGCTGTGTTAAGTACATAGGGATTTATCACCCCCTGATGGCTGTGCGGTGTTCCAGTCGCCTGCGGTTTGTAAAGCTCTCGTTAAATGCATCAACAATGACATTCTGTAAACTTAGTGAATCTCCCAGGCGCCTTTGCCAGCAGGTCATGCAAGCAGGTGTCTCTCAGTGCCGAGCCCCATTTGACTATCTCACCTGGACACCCCCACCCCCGTTTTGCAGCCCCGGAAACATAATGGAGAAGCCCCAGAGGTTGACCTGCCTGAGGGGCTCCTGCCAGGAAGAGAGAGCAAATGGACAGGCTAGGGTAAGGAGAGAGGCAGCTCAGGTTGAATGAGCAGGCCATCCCCACGAGGTCCAGAGCAGCCGACCATGGGGGGTGGGGGTGGGAGAATTATCGTCCCCGTCTCAGGGAAAGGCTCCAGAATGGCTCAAGCTCCCAGAACTGGTTCACGGTGGGGACTCTGATCCAAGTCTTCTCACTCCGAGACTCACTTGGGTCATCTTACTGCCGGGCAGGCCGGGATGTGCTGGAGCCCACTGGGCTCTGCTCTGCCCAACCGCGTGAGTAGTTGGCGGTGGGTCACGGTGTGAACACAAACACCTCCCCCCCGGGCCAACCAAGAGCCAGTATGTCACTGCCTGTGGGAGCTGCCCTTCTCTGTCGTCTGAGGTCCTTGCTCGCCAGCAGCTGAGCTGCCCTTTGAAACCGGAGAGATGGGTGAGCCTGGCTATTAGACACGCCCAGTCACTGGTTAACTATGTGACCTCAGGAAGGGTCACCTTAGCTCATCAGTATCTGGTAAGTGGAGGGTTTTATGACTGCTCTCCCTGAGGACATCATAGGGATTTACCAGCAGGTTATAGACTCATCTGATGTTATGGTTTGATTTTACGTTATTGATCGATCTTACCATCTGAAAGCCGTGTGTAATGTGTCTCTGCCTTTGTCTTCCGTTTTGCCCTTTCTCAAGGGAACAGAGAACAGAATTTGGAATCGTTCACCCCAGACCCACTGTTGGGAGACCTTGAGAATGATGGTAATAGCTAATATTGATTGAGGATTGAGCGGTTGTTATGTACCAGATACCATTCTAAGTGACTGATGCAGATAAGCACTTTTGCTGTATCACACAGTGTGTGTAGTTCAGAAAACACTGCATTCTGGAGAATCACAGGACAAGAAATTTACTAAAAATAACAAGACATATGGGGAAAGCAGGACTTAGAGTTCCGGTCGCCTGCAGTTTATGAAGCTCGCATTAATTGTATAAACGCTTACAATTAGATTCAAAAGTCGGGCAACTTTAAGGACATGATGCTCAGTGAAATCAGCCACTCACAAAAAGACAAACACTGTATGGTTCCATTTATATGAGGTAGCTAGAGCCGTCAAATTCACAGAGACTAAAAGGAGAATAATGCTTCCTGGGGGCTCAGGGGAGGGAGCTGGAGGGATTATTGTTTAATAGGTGTAAGTTTCCATTTTGCAAGATGAAATCTGGAGATGGATGGTGGTGGTGGTTGCACAAGGGCGTGAACGTACTTAAGGACTGGACTGGGCACTTAAAAATGGTTAAGAGGGTACATTGTATGTTTGTGTGTCTTACCACAATTAAACCCCAAAGTTGTGCAAGTTTCTAATCAAAGCAATAATTGGAACCTGGAGAGAGAGCTCAGCGTGAGTGGAGCCTGCCCGGTGGGAAGGGGAAAGTCTGGCTGTGGACACAGAGACTCTGCAGACAGATGAGCCCTGGGCAGTGGGGCCACCATTAGGTGGGCCGAGAGCAAGCTAGCTGTTCCAAGCTGCGCGGTACCCCAAGCCCGCCAGTGCCTCTTTGGGGGGGGGCGAGCTCCGTTGGCAGGCGCTCATTTTAAATTATCTTAAAATAGAGCTGACCAGGGACATCTGGGTGGCTCAGTCAGTTAAGCACCCAACTCTTGATTTCGGCTCAGGTCATGATCTGAGGGTCAGGAGATCGAGCCCTGCATCGGGCTTCACGCTCAATGCTGAGTCTGCTTAGGATTCTCTCTCTCCCTCTCTCTCTTTCTCTGCCCCTCCCCCATAAATAAATAAAATCTTATTTTAAAAAATGGAGTTGACCAGCTTCCTGTGCATCAGCTGAGCTGAGGGCTTTTCCTTTCTTGCTGAAGGTTGTCCTTCTGAGCTTGCTTTTTCAGATCTCATGCCTGAGAAAAATCACCTGTGGACCAAAGCGTTGACACTTTATACTGCTGTCGTTCTTGAATTTAGCAGTCATATAGACTAAATCACGTAGAAGCTAATTGGTATTACAGAAGCACATGCTGAGTAGAACAGACAGCATTAACCCATTTAATCCTTACACCAAGCCTCCGAGGTGAGTTCTATTACGATGAGGCAACCACTTTTCAGATGAGACCCCGAGGCACAGAGAGGTTCATCCACTTTCTCAAGGTTGCACAGCTGGTAAGTAAGAGAGCCGCATTATGAACCCAGGCAGTGTGGCTCCAGATGCTCCACAGTTTTCCATTATAGGCCTGTCTGGGCTCAGTTTCTTCATCCCTAAAGTGGGGATAATGGTACCTACCACCTAGGCCTGTCCTGAGGTCCAACTGAGAGAAGACGTGGGAGTCCTTTGCCGTGGCGTCCGGCACAGGAGGGCTTGATGAATGGGCAGCTACTGCTGCTGTCCCCATGTCCACTGTGTTCCGTCCCAGCTCCATTGCAAGTTGAAGTTGGTGTTTGGCTCCTTAGAGTTCTGTCTCCAGCATCTCTGACGGAAGCCAGGCAGCCTGAGTGTGGTATCTGCCCAGTGCCCGGTGCCCTGTCGGTGCCGAGCTCTTTGGAGGCATGATGGCGCCTTCTAGGGAAGAGCGCCCTGGAGGCAGCTCAGCTGCAGTCACCCTGTCTCTTCCCTTCCAGGCCTTGGCGCCCGCCATCAGCTGGCTGCCCTTTCTCAACACCATCTTCTACCCTGTGGAGATCAATGAGTCCGAGCCCATTGTTGTCTACGACAAGGAGTACCTGGGGCAGGTGTCCACCCTCATCAACAACACGGACAAATGGTAAGGGCCGGCCAGCGGCCTGGCACCCCGCCTCTCACAGCCAGCCCTTGGGGTCCCACACCGCCCTGCTCTTCTCGGGGCCAGACGGGCAGGGGCAGTGGGGGACAGACTGACACCGGGGAGTGGGCCCTGGGGAGAGGCAGCCCGTTCAGATCCCAGCCTCTCCGCCCACCAGCTCTGTAGCCTTGGGCAAGTTTCTCGCCCTTTCTCGGGTTCAGGCTCCCGTCATAAACTGGGGATGGAAATAGCACCTACCCTGTGAGGATGTGAGAACCGAGTGAGGGAATGACACGGAATGGGCCTCGATGTTCGCTGATATTTGTAGGTAGTATTTATGATTTTTTAAATAATTTTAAAGATTTGTTGTGGAGGTTTTTGAAAACTACAGACAAAATAGAAAAAAAATAGTATTACCCAGACACTGCTGTTGATTCTATGGGGTGTGTATGTGTGTGTTTGTAAAGAAGGGAAAGTGTGTATGTGTGAGAGAGGGAGGGAGGGAGGGAGGTGAATTTTCTAATACGTAGGTCGTTTTTGTCCCCATCCTTGTGACCACATGGGTAATCTGCTTTTCCCTTGACCTTCATCAAAAGCATTTTCCCCATGTTATCCCGCACTCCCTGGACCTCATTCCACGTGGCTCTGCATCCTTCCCATCAAGTATAGCTGTGATTATTGACTCACTCCTATCCCTACTGTCACACATTTAGGTTGGTTCCAGTTCAAGGCTAGATGTTCACGTGTGTCTAAGGTGATTTCCTTGCAAAGGTGACAATAGCCACGGATGATTCTCTGGGCCCTGAGGGGAGGGGGCAGTGAGCTCACTTTCCTGCCCCTCCTGTTCGGAGGCCCCCTCCCCCATCTCTGGCCTTCTGGCTGGGACACCAGCCCAGTAGCACACCCCATCCAGGGGCAGTCTCCATGCTGCCTCACGGCTCCCAGACAAAAACAAAAGGCAGCTATGTGACAAACACAAGTCACTGCACTAGGCACCGAGGGGTGTTCAGAGAGGACCCAGGCTCTGCCTTGAAGAGCTGACATTCTATGTGCTTAGTAAGCAGTAACCCGTCAAACTGGGGCAGGTGAGGCGAGGGAAGAGCCTGCGATCCAAAGGCCAGGTTTGAGCTCCCCCTAAAGGTCAGTGTGGGAAGTGCTGTGATGCTCCCCACTCTGGGCCCTTCTGAGCTGTCTGATCTCCTCTTGCCCCAGCCTGCTAAACAACTACATGATCTGGAACCTGGTGCGGAAGACAAGTTCCTTCCTTGATCAGCGCTTTCAGGATGCCGACGAGAAGTTCATGGAAGTCATGTATGGGACCAAGAAGGTGAGCCTGTTCCAGTGCATTCCCTTTCACCTGCTGAGCACCTACTGTGTGCCAGGCCCTGGGTTGGAGGCTCTTGCAACCTCGGTGTCCCCCAGAGCCGTGGAACTTGTGAGGGAGGTAGAGGGTAGGCAGAGAATGGAGAGGGCCTCTGAAGGGGTCCACTCGGATGGCCCTGGGCACAAGGGCTAGATCTAAGCTAGTTGGAGGTGGACAGAAGCTTCCAGAAGGAAATGATTACACTGGGTCTTAGTGGGTAAAGAGGAGTCTTAGAGGGGCACCTGGCTGGCTCAGTTGGAAGAGCATGCATCTTGGGGTCATGAGTTTGAACCCCAAGTTGGGTGTAGAGATTACTTAAATTTTTAAAAAAAGAGGAATCTTAGAGATTTAGCTTCTTTACAGCAAAAGGTGCCTTCTGTTCTCTCTCTTCCAACCCCTTCTCAGTGATGTTGATAATAAACACTTTCCTCTAACTCATGTGATCTTCATATCCCCGTGAGCTGGACGTGATCATCACCCCTGTTTTATGCAGGGGACCCCCAGTCATACTGCTCCTTCCCCATAAACACAAAACCCTTGGTGTGGCCCCTGGTTTGTGGTAAGACTGCACAAGTGCTGCTGGCTGTTACCCTCTTCGGCTGACCAGGTGGTCTCCACTCTCCTTCAGATGCCCCCAACATGCCCCCTGGCAGTCCATTCTTCCAGAGGTCCCAGGGCTCCAGGACCCTCACTCCCTCCCTCAGGACCCCGCCCCAGATAGGAAGCTCCCTGGCCACTTCACTCTTCCTCCACGGAGGTGACTGTCCCCCTCTCGTTCGCGCAGCCAACGGACAGGACAGGAGCCCCGTGTGGGAACACGGGGACAAGCGAGGTAGGGTCTGTGCCCCAAGGGCCCACGTCCCCTGCAAGAGGTCCTCGTATGTGCTGATGGGACACAGCAAGTCAGGGCCCCAGGGAGGTGCCCCAGCTGCAGAGCAGTGGAGGCGGGGGTGCCAGGCCCGCCCAGTGCACCCTGCCCCACCCAGGATGGCAGCTGGCCAGACCCCAGGGGACAGGCAGAGCTGGCTCTAGCTTGACCCTGCCCCTGTGGCCCTCTCCGGAGTCCGATGGCAGGGACAGAGCCAGATAAGGACTGGCAGAGAATGACAGGATGTGGGCTTCTGCCTCCAGTCCTGGGGTCCATCCTGCGAAGAGCTCCCCTTTTCCGTCCCATCCCCCTGTACACCCACCTGTGGCAGGAAGCGTACTGAGGGAGAGTGTGGCGGGGAACAAGAGCGGCTTCTGAGGGCACCACGGGGCCTCAGCCACGAGAGCCACCTGCCTTCCTGCTCCACCTGCACCCACTGTGGGCTGGGCCCAGGTGAGCCCTGGGTCACAGACGTGACAAGGCACGAACTCTGTCCTCTGGAGCATGTGGCCTCCCAGGGGACTTTGTACAGGAAGAGTGAGCAGGCCCCGGGATGGTAGTTACAGAGATACTGCTGCATGTGGAGTGTGCACCTGCCTTGTTGCTTACCCACCTGGATGCAGAGGGGCAAACAGGTTCTGGGCCGTGAAGGGCTTCCCAGCTCACCTAGCAAGGAGGCAGCCAAGCTCAAATTCAAACCCAGCTCTGGATGACCGTGACTACTCGGCCCTTTCAGCCACTCACTAATGATGATGATGATAATAAAAGGTATTATTATTAGATGTTTGCCTTTTATAGGCATTATGTCACCAAGTTTCCATACCAGCTCTGTGTTAGGATCTATTATCATCAGCCCGTTTTATAGATGAAGAAACTGCGTCTCTGTGAAGGGAAGGGCCTTGTTCAAATTCACACAGCTCTTAAGTGGGGAGTGTGATTTCAATCCCAGCACGTCTGGTTCCAGAGCGCCCCCCGGGAGCCCTACCCCACTCAGCCTCTGCAGGAGCGAGAAGTTAACGTTGAGCTTCCTGGTGGTTGCAGGGGGTGGGGGGCGGGGGCAGGGAGGCAGGCATGGGGAGTTGTTTAATAGGTATGGAGGTTCATACTTGCAAGATGAAAAGTTCTAGAGATTGGTTGCACAGCAGTGTGAATATGCCTACCACCACTGACCTGTACATTTCAAACAGTTAGAATGGTAAATCTTACATATATTTTCCTATGATAGATAGATAGATAGATAGATGATTAGATAGATAGATAGGGCAAGCGAGCGAGCAAGCGAGCTTCCCTGGGCCAAGCTCAGAGTGCAGGGGTGCTGCTCTAACCAGTGGGAGGCAGTGGGAGTTGGCCGGGAGTTCTTGGCAGAAGCAAGGGCAATTGGGAGACCCTAGAGGTGGGGGGCTGTGGGCCAGAGTCCCTCTGTGCCCTGTGCATGGTATAAGGAAACAGCACAGAACTTTGGATCAGAAGATCTGTGTTTGAAATGGTTCTTCTAATCACACAACCTTAGGCAAATCACTTCATTGGAGCAGAGGGCTGTCTTCCCAAGTGTAAAAAGGAGTAACTAATCCCTAGCCTGCTGACCCGGGGTTGTCTGGGATTACACGAAGGGATCCCCAAAAGTCTGTCCCAAAGGCTAAAGCACTCCAAGCCATGTTCTTTATCTGCAAGCAGGAGCACAGGGGGGGTACCTGCTTCATGGGGTTATTAGGAGGATTATATGAGTTAGGGCCCACACCCGGTAAACACTCAGCAAGCACGAACTACTGTCGCTGCTACCATTGCTGTTATTATGTGTCTGTCTCTCCCACTGGGTGTTCTGAGTGTTTCCATTGAGCCCCTCGAGGGCAAGGCCCATGACCAATTTGTCTCTAGGTTCCAAACACCTAGCATAATCCAGGTGCAGAGGAACTCTCCAGAAGGCACCGGACATGTGAATGAATGAACAAACAAACGAATGAATGAATGAATGCGTGAGTGAGTGGGCTTATGCAAAAACTCTCCTGAGAAGGCAGTGAGACTCAGCTCCTGACTCAGCCATCAGGGCCTGGGACCCCCACGGAGCCTGTGAGTTCAAGGTCCCTGGTCCTGACCTCCTGCATGGGCAGCCTCAGCCAGATGTGGGCGGGTTGTGGGGAGGGGAGGGCGTCTAAACGGACACATGGGTGGGAGAGCTTAAAAGAATTGGGCCGCTAAACTTAGGGAAGGCTGAGATGCCCTTTATTTCCTTCCCTTCTTTCATGGAAGAAATTTCTTTAGCTAAGGTATAATTTACATACTGTAAAATGTGCAGTATACACTAAGTACCCAGTTCAGTGGACAAAGGAAATGTGTTCCCCTGGACAGAGGAGATCACCCACAAAACCGAAAGCCCACTCCACATAGAGACACTCCTGTGACGAGTTCATCCAGCGTCCTAGGAGCAGAAGGTCCCCTGGTGGGTATGGCTGGGCGGGGGCGGGATTATGCGCCGTGCGCTCCTGTTCGTCTGGCTTCTCAGCTGATGGCTGTGAAATTCAACCACGTTGTGTGTATCAGTAATTCAGTCCTTCTTGTTGCCAAGTAGCGTGCTGTTGTGTAAAAATACCACATTTTGTTTATCCAGCCGCCTGTTGGTGGGCATTTGGTTGTTTTCAGTTGGAAAAGTGTTCTGAAGCAGGCTGCCCTGAGCCTGGTGGTTTTTACCACCTGTTCTTCGGGGTCAGGAGGCCCCACGAGGGATTTAGGGATTTTCGGGAGCAGGGCCACCCCTGGTGGTCACGGAGGGCAGGGGAGCCAGGGGGGGCAGGAACCTGCGTGGGTGCGCTTCCTGGAGCCGCGCTCCATGAGGCTGCAGCCTGCGGGGTGCCCGCTTCCAGCTCCGCAGAGGTGTCGTCGAGCAGGCTGGTGGGTGAGACCACGGGTGACCACGACATCTCAGCCCCTTCCTCTGGGAGGCTTTCAATGGGGTTGGGTCCTGGCCTTCTGGGATGGGTTTCCTGTTGCAAGAGGGTAGACAAGGTAACTTCTCAAGTCTTTGACACCAGGATCTGCCGCCTCCCCCAGGGCGTAAGGTAGGGTAGGGATGGGGGTGTGGGGTGTGCGGTCAGGCATGTCAGAGTCCCATCACTGCCACACCCCCTGCTCGCCGGGGGACCCTGGACCGGTGACTTCCCCTTGCTGAGTGTCTGTCTGTGTCCTCATCTGGCAAGGCCCACGGCTCTGCCTTCCAGGATCATTTTGATGGCTTGGTGAGATACCATTTGTGACGTGCTGCGCACAGAGCCTGGCATTCAGGAAATAGTAGATGGCGGCGATGAGCAATATTCTGTGGCCTCTTGGTCCAGTGCCTAAAATAACTTCCCCCACTGCGTCAGATAAGTCTCCCTGAGGTTCTGGAAGGAAGCACAGGCCCCAGCTGTTGGCTGCTTCCTCCCAGATGGACAAGGGTTGGGAAGAAGGACGGGGCCCAGTAACCCCTCTCCCTTGTGTTCCCAGACCTGTCTTCCTCGGTGGAAGTTCTGCGTGAGCGACACAGAGAACAACTTGGGCTTCGCCCTGGGCCCCATGTTTGTCAAAGCGACCTTTGCAGAGGACAGCAAGAGCATAGTGAGTACCTCCCCTTGTGACGGCACTAGCCCCTCGTGAACTTGGCCCCCTGTGACGGCACACCTGCACTAGCCCCTCGTGAACTCGGCAGCCCACGCTCCAGGTCTGCTCTGGACCTTTCCTACTCCAGGCCAGGGCTCCAGCCTTCACTCAAAGGTTCTGTTTTCTAAAGCCCTGAATGCTGTCAGCTATTATCACTGAGTGCTGGGCACTTAAGCCACATTATCACTAAGCCTGCGAGGCCACTCCAGCCATCTCCTCCTCCACCCCCAAGGGAAATGAAGGGCCCAGCGACATCCTGTTGGCAGAGCAGCTCTGGCCTAACGGGTGACATCTTTCTTAGCCCAGGGGGTAACCCCATGTCTGGACAGGCAGAGGAACATCATGGCCAGGTGCATGAAGTCAGCCAGGCCCCAGTTCAGATCCTGGGTCCATCACCTCCTGGTTGGGTGACTTGAGACAGTTTTCTCCCTTTGCTGTTGACTTGGAAGCGGGGCTGTCCATCCTGTAGCAGGACAGGAAATGAAATGCTACACACGGGGTGCCTGGGCCTGGGTGGCTCAGTTGGTTAAGCGTCTGCCTTCGGCTCAGGTCATGATCTCAGGGTCCTGGGATTGTGCCCCACATCAGGCTCCCCGCTCGGCGGGAAGCCTGCTTCTCCCTCTCCCTCTGCCTGCCGCTCCCCCTGCTTGTGCTCGCTCTCTCTCTCTCTCTCTAACAAATAAATAAATAAAATCTTAAAAAAAGAAAAGAAAAGAAAAGAAATGCTACACACAGAACACCTGGCAGAAAACAAGGGCTCGGCAAATGGTAGCTATTATATTTTTGTTACAGTTTTTTTACTAATTTTAATTATGTAGATATTACGTGCAGTCAAACATTAGCAAACACTCACTTCCTTACGCGACTCTCCTGTGAGCGGCTGCTACAGAATCTTTGTCTAGTTCTGTCGGCAGTCAGGACCTCTCCTCTTTCCGCTGTGTGCCTTCCTTGCTCTGCTCTAGAATCTTTGGGCTCTGAGTCTGCCTCTGACGTTATTGCCCTCAAGAACAGCTGTTCATCTCCAGCCTGAAACTGCTTGTCAGAACTCAGGTTCTCTAGATTTTAAAGCCCATTCCATCGAAAAGGGATCCTGTGGTCCAGTAAGTCTGAGAAAGGCTATGAATTTTACACTCTCCAAAAGGATCGAAGTTCGTGTTACACAATAAAGGCTCTGAAAAAGTCCTGCAGAGGAGAGACTTTTCCAGCACTTCTTGTCCTCAGTTTCTGTGGTGTTGATGCTCTGTTTATGGAAGTCCAGTCTTGTTTTGCAGGACTTAAGTGTTCTGGGCACTGAGGAGCCTGAAGCTTTGAGCTGATTCCTGAGTTTAGACCCTGGCCTCCTTCCACATGGGGTGCCCATCCAGTGCCCGGACCTCACTGGTCAGCTTCTGTCTCCTCAGGCCAGCGAGATAATACTAGAGATTAAGAAGGCGTTTGAGGAAAGCCTGAGCACCCTGAAGTGGATGGATGAAGACACTCGGAGATCAGCCAAGGAAAAGGTGAGGCTGGCCCAGTGCCAGAAGGGGTGGCTGAGGCTTCCCACCTAGAGGGCCGCACCCACAGATGGAGGGGGTGCCTCAAGCGAGACCAGTCACATCTGGTGAGCACAGCAGGGATGCTGTCCTGCCTTCAGGGGTGAATATTCCAGCAGGGTGGAGGGACAGCCTTGAACACACGATTGCATTAATGACAATATGAAAATAAGCCATGTTGAGTCTGTGAGGGAAAAATGCAGGGAGCTGTGGCATGTCTAATGGAGAAAGAAGGATCTGATATAGTCCAGCGGGTGGCGGCCAGCAAAGGCTTCCCTCAGGAGGGAGGCAGAGACCCAAAGGGTAAGTAGAAGTCAGGCAAGAGAGGGATCTTTCCAGAAAGAGATGCGGAAGCCCTGAGGGGGAGGGCCTGCCCATTTCCTTTTGGCCCAGAGCCTGAGCCCAGCCAGGCCTGCTGGGCATTCAGTGTCCTCTGTGTCTCTCCTGTGCAGGCAGACGCAATCTACAACATGATAGGCTACCCCAACTTTATCATGGACCCCAAGGAGCTCGACAAAGTGTTCAATGACGTGAGTGGCTCCCACCCTGCCCCCTTGCATTCCCGGATGTCCCTGAGCTCCCCACGTGGGGAAGAGCAGAAGCAGGCTGGGTCCAGGTGGGATGCGAGAGGTACCTTGACTGTCAAGGCATCTCCAGATACGTCGGTGTGGGGGGTGGGGATGGATCAGGCACGAGGGGGCTGTTCTGTGCCCCTTCTCTCCTGGGCCTGCTGGAGCCCCCTGCCCCCCCAGAGCCACCGTCACTGCCCAGCAGTCAGGACCAAACAGTGCCATGTGCCCGGCCAGACGCTCCATTTAATGGGGGGGGGGGAAATAATGGAGGTGAGCAGACTCTAGGAGGGACAGACAGAATGAAGGCCCCTAAAACAGCAGGAGGTGGGGTGAGGAATGGAGCCCCTCATACCACCTCTTCCTTCCCGGCCCCCCAGATTGCCTCCCCTGCCCAGGGTCTTCCCCCTTCCCAGAGAAACCTGGACCTCATTTGGACCTCCAAACGCTAATGGGAAAAAGGAGGCGTGAATCCCAAATGCACGTTTAAGCTTAACTGAGGCAACAAGGGTACTTGATATATTCCTGGTGGTTAGAACTTTCTGCAGGTCGGCCCCATAAACGGATTGTGCTTCTGCCCTGAAAGATAGTTTTATATCTTCTTGTGATTGAAATTTGTGAAATTCAGGCATTTTTGCAATTATAATAACCCCTCATCATGGCTCTATTTAAAACCTAAGAATATTAAAATTACTTCCGAGAATACGGGACTGACTCATTCCGCAGCCTTTTTCCTCGAGGATAATTTAAGATGCTCCGGGGTGTCACGACACAAGACCCGGAGATTCCTGGGGACAGGCACAGCCCACAGGATCAGAGTCCTGTCCCCAAGGTCCCAGCATTTTACCAGAGCTCTGACGGAAGCCAGAAAGCTCTGGAGTGGATCTGAGGAAGAACCTTGCCCCTGAAAAGAGCAGAAAGGCTGGGCTGAGTGCTGAGGAAGGCGTGCAGTGACACCTGTCCCCTGACATTTCAGAGATAGACCCCAGCTTGATTCGTGTGGTATCCAGTGTGGTAGCTGCTATAGCCACTACTGTTTAATTAATTAAAATCTAAATGTAACAGTCACACTAGCCGCATTTGAAATGCTCAGTAGCCACGTGTGGCTGGTGTCTGCCATACTGGATAACACAGGCAAAGAACACGTCCATCATCACAGAAAGTTCTGTCGGACAGCACTGGAGAGATTTGCTGTCTAAGGCCCAGGCACTGCTGCAGGCCTGTGACACTGCTGGGTGCTGAGCAGCCCTGTGAAGCTCTTAGTGTGTCCTTGAACGGGAGAGGGTGCCAGGCCCCAGCAAGGTCAGGGCCACGGCAAGAACCCAAGCCTGCAGTCCCGAGACTTCCATTCCGGCCCCTGACCTGTGGACCAGTCCCTTAACCTCGCGGGGTTTGAGCTTCCTCGGCTTTAGAAGAAGGGGTCTGCGTGTAAGGAGCCGAGGGGCCTCCCAGCCCGGACGCGCTCTGACCTCGTACCTCTGCTTCCTCTTGGCCAGTACACCGCAGTCCCGGACCTCTACTTTGAGAACGCCATGCGCTTTTTTAACTTCTCCTGGAGGGTCACTGCCGACCAGCTGAGGAAGGCTCCCAACAGAGACCAGTGAGTCCCCGGGGCCTTGCTGGGAGGGCACTGGCGCCCGGAACACAGGGGTGCTCTGGATCGAGTGTGCTTTTCTCACACGCGCACGGATGCCAGACGTAACGGTCACAAGCGCCATCTGAGGAGTGGGCACCGTCGCTCTCCCACTCTTCAGGTGAAGAAGCCAGGGACCGAGGAAGTGTGCCCAGCCAGGAGCTGGGACTGGCCTGGGTCTGTGTGCCCCTGGCACCCCGCTGGTGGACAGAGTAGCCTGTCCTCACCCGCTTTAGCATTGGGAACGTCTGCCTCCTTATCCGCAGAGAAGATGGGAGGAGCCGTGTGACAGTCAAGTGTGAGCGCTAGGAGGCCCTCAGCTAGCGGAGGTTCTGAATGGGCCCCCAACAGCTGTGGTTCCCAAACCTTACTGCACATCAGCACCCTCTGGGGAGGGTTTTTTGTTGGTTTGGTATTTTTTAAGATTTACTTATTTATTGGAGAGAGAGAACGAGTGGAGTGATAGGGAGAGAGACTCTCAAGCTGACTCTGTGCTGAGCACAGAGTCCGAGATGGGGCTCGATCCCACCACCCTGAGATCATGACCCAAGCCAAAACCAAGAGTTGGAGCCTCAACCCGCTAAGCCACCAAGGCGCCCCCTGGGGGAAGTTTTTTTTAAAATACAGCTTCTTCCTGGACCTCAAACCTTCTTAAAATAATCTGGAATGAGCCCTGGTTTCTGTCATTTCTTGAGCAGTCTCCTCGGGAAACTCATATGTTGTCAGCCCAGCTCTAGCTCTCAAAATAAGCTCCCCCCACGCCTAAAACATTTTGCAGAATAAATCTTACCAAAAGGGGGAAGCAAGAATTCTCTTTGCTTCTGGCGCCCCTTCGTGGCCAATAAGGGTTTATACATCTGTTTCCTCTTAAGATTCCTGTCTCCTACAGAGGAACCCCCTCCCCTAAATGCACCGAAGGCGGTTTTTTATTTCCAGAATATGGCACAGGTACTGCCACAAGGTTCCGAATTTGTCTGAAGTCTTTTAATTTAGCTTAAAATTTTTCATTTAAATTCTGCCTCCTGGGGGCACCCGGGCAGCTCCATCGTTTCCAGGCATCTGCCTTTGGCTCAGGTCATGATCTAGGTCCTGGGATTGAGCCCCAGGTCATCTCAGGGTCCTGGGACGAAGGCCCACGTCAGGGTCCCTGCCCAGCCTGGAATCTGCTTCTCTCTTACCCTCTGCCCCTCCCCGCTGCTCATGCTCTCTCTCTCTAATAAATAAATAAAAATCTTTTAAAAAATAAATAAATTTTGCCTCCTGCCCATTAATGTATGGAGCCATGATTATTTGAATATAAATATGATGTTTTTGATTTCTGTCTTCCCGTGGCTTCAGTACCCCACAACACATCTCTTTGAGGCTCACCTGGAGGAGACAGAGTGAATAAGCTCCTGGAGAAAATGTCCTTTCTGTCTCGCTCCACTCATCACTGGGCTTCCCCTCCACACCAGAAAAATTATTGAGTGGACAAATGTTTCTACCATCAGGGTCCCTTCTATACTCCTTTTTTTTTTAAGTTTTATTTATTTAAGTAATCTCTGCATCCAATGTGGGGCTCGAACTCACAACCCTGTGAGTCGTATGCTCTTCCAGCTGAGCCGGCCAGGCGCCCCCTTCTACACTCTTGAAAAATTATTGGAACCCAAAGAGTTGTGTGTATGGAGATTATATCAATTTAATGTAAATTTTATGAAAAATAACTTTTTTAGGGGCGTCTGGGTGGCTCAGTCGTTAAGCGTCTGCCTTCGGCGCAGGTCATGATCCCAGGGTCCTGGGATCGAGCCCCGCATTGGGCTCCCTGCTCAGCGGGAAGCCTGCTTCTCCCTCTCCCGCTCCCCCTGCTTGTGTTCC